AAAAAAAAAGAAAAGAAAAGAAAAGACTTTGTTCTTTGCAGTCCCCCTTGTGGTGATATATTGTGTACCCTAATAAACTTGCCCGAGGATCAGAGAAGCAAAGCAAGCCACTGCCAGGTCTCACCTCACCAACTTCACGCATCCTCTGACTGAAATCCTCTGAGTCCTCACCCGAAAGGGTCTCAGATGAACTGCCTTTAGTTCCTGTCTCTTCACGCCTTATATACCTTTCTGCCATTTTACTTCCTGGGATTAAAGGCCTGTGTGCTTCCCAAGCAAAGGCATGAGATCTCAAGTGCTGGAATTTAAAGGTGTGTGCCACCACTGCCTGACCTCTATGTTAATCAAGTGGCTGGCTCCGTCCCCTGATCCTCAGGCAAGCTTTATTAGGGTACACAATATAGCACCCCACTCTCTTCCCCCTTGAGATGGTTCAGCCGGAGTTCCTCACTAGATGGTGGTACCTTAAGCTGAAATTTCCCAGGTTCAAGAACTAAGCAAGCATCCATTCGTTATAAATTACCCAGCACAAGACAGACTAAGTTGTATTTCACTACACTACTTGATATCCTAACTGAATTTCTTCCAGAAAATACAAACTATACAGGAATAGACAGACTAAAAAAAATTCTGTTTATTGCTCTAAAGTCGATGGAACCTGGGAGAACGGAGCCTCAAAATGAGGCAGACTAAAGTCTCATGCAATAACTAACTTTATTCAGAGCATTAGACAATTCATACTCTGAGGGGGTAAGAAGAGTCACATGAGCCGGGTGGTGGTGGCGCATGCCTTTAATCCCAGCAATCGGGAGGCAGAGCCAGGTGGATCTCTGTGAGTTCAAGGCCAGCCTGGTCTACAAAGTGAGATCCAGGAAAGGCGCAAAACTACAGAGAAACCCTGTCTAAAAAAAAAAACAAAACAAAAAAACCAAGAAGAGTCACATGAGTAAAGTGTAGAATCACAAGGACAAGCTGCACCTGACAAAAATGTTTTTCCATAGAGGTATATAAACAATAGCCAGTTATAATGTAATCCGAAGTAAACTCACACCTCTCCTCTACGACTGAGAGGGGCATGAAAGCACATTCCAAGAACAATTCTGTGTTTTGAAGAAACCAAGGTTACAAAACTCTTGTCTTGTTTTCTCACAAGCACTCATTCTTGGACTGTGTTCTGACACCATGTCAGCAGGAGACACCCACTGCTTATGAACAAATAACAAAACCACATGTACATGGGGTCCTTGTGAGCCTGGCATTATGCTCCAGGTCAGTGTTCTCAACCTTCTGAATGCTGCGACCCTTTAATACAGTTCCTCATGTTGTGATCCCCAACCATAAGATTATTTCGTTGTACTTCGTAACTGTGATTTTGCTACTGTTATGAATCACAGTGTAAATATTTGATATACAGAATATCTGATGTGTGACCCACAAGAGGGTCGAGACCCACAGGTTGAGAACCACTGCTCTAGGCTCTGATGGAAACCAGAAGCATGAAGGTTAGCAATGGAGGAAAATAAACATATAAAAATGTTAGAACCAAAAAGATGTTCGAGTCCCTTCCTTTTGCAGATCTATCTGTCTGTCTATTCAGGGGTTAGTTCCACACTTGGCAGGTCCATCCAGTTGGGAAACATCGCCGGGGACAAGGTAAACAGGACTCTAAGAATCTGGAGAAGGTCATATGACTGAATGTCAGTAGCCAAGGCTGGCCCCTGTGATGAGATGAGACACATGGGACAGAATGTGGACTCGAGCATCCAGGGAACAGAGAGATGACGATCCCCAAGGTGTTGTCATCAAGGATGTCAGGAATAGCAACACCCTAAATCTGTCTCGTGCTTTATGAAGCTCTAACGTGTGAGCATCCCTCAGCTCATTCTTACACTACCCTAGACTGCTTTTCAGCTGTGGGTACTGTTGGAATGGTTACTCTACACTGGGCAAGTCCTGTGTAAAGACCCCAGGCTCATAGGTTAGGACAGTAGAAAGGGCCCGTGAGGTGGCTCATAGAGTAAAGGTGAGTTCAGTCTCCATAACCATGTAAAGATGGAAGGAGAAAACTGACTCAACAAAGCTGTCCGCTACAGTCCATGTGTACACCATGGCACATGCACCCCCTCCAACATGAAGCATGTGCATGTGTGTGCACACACAAACTGTCTGTCTACCATCTATCTATCTATCTATCTATCTATCTATCTATCTATCTATCTATCTATCTATCTATCTATCTAAATTAATTAATTCATATTAAAAAGGAACAGAGCCACCAGGTGGTGGTGGTGCATGCCTTTAATCCCAGCACTTGGGAGGCAGAAGCGGGCAGATCTTTGTGAGTTCGAGGCCAGCCTGGTCTACAGAGCGAGGTCCAAGACAGCCAGGACTGTTTCACAGAGAAACCCTGTCAAGAAAAACAAAACAAAAAACAACAACCACAAAAACAAACAAACAAACCAACAGAGCCTCCAGGAAACAGCCCAGGAGAAGAAAGCATTGTATCAGAGACATATGGCTGGGACTTGGGTACAGGAGAGCTGATGGTACGAACACAGCTATGCAGGAGGTCAAGGAGGATGGCGGGCACTGTAGTTGAGGACAGTCTCTTCATTTGTGACATTACCGTGTATCAATTGCATGGATAATAAGATGACCCCAGGAACCTTTGAAGATCGCAGAGCCGCCTTTAAGGAAGCACAGCTGATGATGACTGAAGCTGCCTGGAGGTAGCACTGCAGGTCCCAGGAAATGTGTGATGTGTCTGCAGCGACATCCTGACGGACAGAACCAAAGTAAACAGGTGAGACCTCCCTAACCAGGAAGAGTGCCTATGAGCATACTCCCTTCTGTTTCATTTTATTGATCATCTTTATTTCTTTTAATATTTTCTTTTTTTATTTATTTATTTATTTATTTATTTATTTATTTATTTATTTATTTATTTATTTATTTATTTATTATGTATGCAGTGTTCTGCCTGCAGGCTAGAAGAGGGCACCAGATCTCATTACAGATGGTTGTGAGCCACCATGTGGTTGCTGGGACTTGAACTCAGGACCTCTGTAAGAGCAGCCGGTGCTCTTAACCTCTGAGCCATTTCTCCGGCCCCTTCTTTTAATATTTTCATTTTTTAAAATTTAATTTTTATTTTTAAAGTAGCTTACAAAGTAATAGGTTTCCATAGGGGGTTATCTTTTTTGAATATTTTTAATTTATTCTTTAACAATTTCATACATGTTTACAAAATATCTCTATCATATCTAACTCAAATCCCTCCCTTCACTTCAGAACCTTCCAATACTTACCCCCTCCACCTTCATCTCCTTTTCTTTTTTATAAGTCCTTGAGTCTAATTAGTGCTCTTTACATATACGTGGGTGTGGGGCCATCCCCCTGAACAGGGGCAGCCTATGAAGATAGGTGACTTTTAGGACCACACTAAAACAAGATGAATTCTCATGGATTGCAAATATCTCCTCAGCTAGGATCGTCGCTTCATGGGCTTCCCTTCAATGCTGGGATGCTGATTGGCTTGATCTTGTTCAGGTCTTGGGCAGGTAACCCCAGCTGCTGGGAGGTCATGAGTACAATGACTGTGTCGTATCCAGAGGACATTTCGCAGTCCTCCACCTCTCCACCTTTTACATGTTTTCTGTTCCCCCTCCTATAATGTTCCCCAAACTTTGGGTTGTGTGGGCTGTTGGTGTATATTGTTCCCTTTAGGGCTGAACACTCAACAGTTAATTATCCTTAGCATTTTGACCACTTCCAAGTCTGCACTGGCAGCTGCTCACTGCACAGAGGCTTCTCTGACCGAGGTTGAGAGGAGCACTAGTCTATGGATACAATTATTTAGAAGGCACTTTGAAAACATGTCCATTTAACAACAACTACAAAACAACAATCGGTTCCCATCTAGGGCCTATAAACTCCTGAACCGTGTATTCTTTTCTGTTCACAACACCAGGCATACATTTCCTCCTCTGGAACAAACCTCAAATCCAATCAGAAAGTGACTTCTTAGCTCCCTGGCAGTCATGCCATAATTGCATGAACAAGTGTATCTTGCCTGGCAGGTTAGCATTGTAGCATTCATGGCCCGTTGTTGGGTGAATTCGCTGATCATTTTTTCTGCACCAGGGCCCTATTTCCACCAACATGAAGGCTAGCCAGCAGGGAAGAAGTTTCCATGTCAGTTCCTGACTGATTTCTCTGCGACCTGCCACCGAAGTGTTTTATGTCTTCAGCAATAATGTCTAGCTGTGGTGGGCAGCCGAGAGCAACAGAAGTAGTTTGTGTTGTTTGGGGGACCTCTGAGGACTTCCTGGTCAATAACTCACAGAGGGGCAATTTTTACCAGGCTCTGAGTAACTCATCTCTTCAGGGGAAAGCATTGCCCACCCATTAAGGGAACCTGTGTTCAATCTCCTAATATATATATATATTATTATATATGATATATGATTTATATATGATTTATATATATATATATATATATATATATGGATATGGTTTTTTCCAAGCAGGGTTTCTCTGTGTAGTTTTGGTGCCTGTCCTGGAACTCACTCTGTAGCCCAGGCTGGCCTCGAACTCACAGAGATCCGCCTGCCTCTGCCACCCGAGTGCTGGGATCAACAGCATGCACCACCACCGCCCGGCTATATCTTTTAATTAGCTTACAAATAGTGGGTTTCCATTAAGATTTTTTGGTGTATCCTAGTTTTGCCTAACCATCTCACCTCCTTCCCACCACTTGTCCCTGCTTAGATCTTGACTTGGAGTAGTTCTCATGCCCTTCACATGTGTTAACTATCCACTCCCCTTTGAGGTCTGTTTCCCTCCTCACTTTCATGTGTCCTTTCTGTTACCTGACCTTTACAGGTACTGTAGGTTAAACACACAAACCTGAAAAATTGTAGCTCAGATCCACATATGAGAGAAAGCATGTGATGTTTGTCTTTCTGGGTCTGAGCTATCTCATTTAGTATAATATTATCCAGTTCCATCGATTCCCCTCTAAATTTCTTTAAAAAGCATTTAAATCAGAATTTGAAACACGTCATTCCAAGATCTTCCAGCATCATTTAAAGTTTGTGTTTAATCTAAGGATCAAACTAATCTGTCGTTAGTCTTATGGGCCTGCCATAAAAATTTCTTTTAGATTTATTATTTTATGTTTATGAATGCTTTGCCTGCACACATGTATGTCTATCATGTGTACAGTTGCTGGATGCCGTGGATGGTTGTGAGGCGCCATGTGGGTTCTGGTAACTGAACCAGGGACCTCTGCAAGAGCAACTAGTGCTCTTAACCACTGAGCCGGCATCTCTCCAGCTCCCTGGACCTGCCCTTGTGTGTGATTTAGTGGGTTTCTCTTGCTGCTCCCAACAGACTTTCCCTGTTTTGGATATTTAGTGTTGGAATTACAATACTGTGAGGGGGGTTGTTTCTGTTTCCTGTCCTGAATGCCTCCTACATCTGGGTGGCACTTCTCTTCCTTGCTCTGGGGAATTTTATAGTATGATTCCTTTGAAAATATTTTCTATTGATTTAGAACAAGATTTTTCTTTCTCTATGTCCAGAACTTGTAGATTTGTTTTTGCGAGAGTGTCACGTGTATCTTAGAATTCCTTCTGATGCCTTCTTAACATCCATCCTCGTCTTTGCTTGATCGCTCCAGCCCCTTTACCTCCTCCTCAAGCTCAGAAAGTCCCTCTTGACACAGCCGAGAACTGGTGAAATGTCCCACAGAAATTTTTGTTAGACTTACCGGGTTTTTTTTAGTCCTGTTTTTCTTCAATATTTTTATGTCTTGTTGAATTTCTTCTTTCATTTGTTGTATTATCTTCCTTATTTCCTTCAGCTGCTTATGTGTTTCTTCATTGAGGAGGTTATTTCCTTCTTTCCTTCTATGAGCATGCTTACAATCATTCTTTAGAGTTCTCTGTCTGGGGTTTTATTTAACTCACTATCTAGATGCCATTATTGCAGTCTTAGCGATTTTTGGAGGAGTTATATTTTCTTGTCTTTCATATTAATTAAGTTACTGCATTGGGATTTATATACCTAGGGTTGTTTCTTTCCTTGAGATTTTAAAAACCAGTGGTACTTGTTATGTTCAACTGGAGTTGGATGAGCTGGGGTTGAAGTGTGTAGTTCAGAAAATAGTTCCATAGTCTAGGAGTTCAGGGCGCTTGGTGTGGACTCTATTTTATTTCCTGAATGAACAACAGTGGCAGGATGAGTGGATAGAGGGGCAAAGACTGTATGAGCCAGGGACCGCAGAGTGTTTTTCTGAATAGGAGGCAGAAAAAGGGTTAGAGAGGGAATTCAAATACATTCCTCAAAATACATGGCTATAGTATTTTATACACCTGGGGAGCAGGTTCTTCTAATCCTGTTGATGCATATATGTGTGTAAGATAAACTAAAATTGGCTTCAAAGATGAACGATGCTTTTCCATTTCTGTGTGAAATAAACCTATATGAAACATGAAAAAATTCTGGCTTGAGTAAATATGATTGTTTTATTTAAATGAAATAGCAAAATACATTTTAAAAGGTTTGTTTCAAAATGCTTACTTTATTTTATTATTTTGCCTGCATGTATGCCTGTGCATCATTTGTGTGCCTGGTACCCGTGGAGCCTGGAAGAGGGCATTGGATCCCCTGGCCCTGAGATAGTTACAGACAGTTGTGAGCTGCCATGTGGGTTCTGGGAATCAAACCCAGGTCCTCTGGGAGAGCAGGCAATGTTCTTAACCTCTGAGCTCTCTCTCTCCAGCCCCTCACAAATGCCTTAAGTATTCATGTTGATAGTTGGTTTTCTTTTCTTTTTCTTTCTGTGTGCATGGAAAATGTTTAGCATTTAATGAACCTCCCTGGGTGCCTTCAAGCCACCAGGAAACAGGCACCTCCAACACTTTCCACCATCTCCTCAGTTCCTCTGCTGAAGAATCTGGTTGTCTCGGTTGTGACAGGTTGCTCAGGGAGCTTTCTTTCCCTTCCCCAGAACTCTGGGGTAGCCAGATCGCACAACATGGACGATGAGAGCAGTTCCAGTCTTGTTTTTTTTTTTTTTTTTCCTGCTCACTGCCCAGTGTCCACAGTTTATGCAGGTTGACAGTTAGGCAGGAGTTCTGGTTCCCCTTCAAGCCGTAAGGCCTCATACCAGCTCTCCCAGAGTCACCCGGATGATGGTGATTCGTGCCTCCAGCTGTCCGGAGGTCTCCCAGATGTTTGCGGTGCTAACTGATGCTGCTGTGGCTCATGTGGCCCTGAAGTTTCTGGGTCTCCCTCAGTCTGGATGGCTTGGTGGTGGCAAAGAGGAAAGAGAGAAACACTCCCAAGTCTAGCGGTAGCAGACTGATAACTGATTTTCTTAGCTTATTACAAAGTTCTTTATCTCTTCATTTACTTATTTTTTTAAGACAAGGTCTCCTTATGAAGCCCTGGCTGTCCTGGAGCTCACTATCTAGACCAGGCTGGCCTCGAACTCACCAAGATCTGCCTGCTTCCATCTCTTGAGTGCTGGGATTAAAGGTATGTACTACCATGCCTTGCTACAAAGTACTTTTAATTTTTATAAGTATTCCAATTTCCTCTAGTGATTATTTGTAACTTGGATTTATGCACTTCAAGACACGTACAGGCTTAAGTGTTGGTTCGCAGAACAAAACTTTGCAAAAGACAAGGATTCGATTTAGGAATGTAGATTATTCCCAAAGTTCCTAGGCCAGTGTTTTAACACTCAGAGTGGGAGATGAAGAAGGTACCAGCAGCAGCAATAAAGAGAAAATG